GACTCTAGATGGGTAGATGATATAGATAGATAGATAGATGCTAGAAAGATAGATGCCAGATAGATAGACTCTAGATAGATAGATGCTAGATAGATAGATAGATAGATGATAGACTCCAGATGGATAGATGATATAGGTAGATAGATGTTAGATAGATAGATGATAGATAATAGATAGATAGATAGATAGATAGATAGACAGACAGATGGATGGGGCAGAAGGAAACTTTTGGAGGCAAAGGAAATGTTATGACCCTGATTGTGATGATGGTTTCAGGGTGTACACTTATCCCAGACTCATCAAGGTGTGTATATTAATATTTACAAGTTGTTCTACGTCAATCCTACCTCAGTAAAGGTGTTTTAATATAGAAAGTTGAGCAGAAATGCTTAAGGTGAAGAAGGGTGGGAGAGGGACTCTGGACAGAGGCAGAGCAGGATCCAGGCCCGTGGGGGTGACAGGTCATCGGGGTGACATTCTGCTGCGCCGACGGGGAGTACAGCGGGAGCAGGTGCAGTGACAGGTCGGCAGCACGTGAAAAGATGGCCTGTGTCACGGGAGGAAACGTGACCCCTGGTGCCCTGAATACGGGGCAAGGACAATTTCGCCACTTTAGAAACGCTTCCTCCCAGCAACGTGTCAGCATCTTTACTGTGTCTTTATTCTTGAATCAATATCAGTGGAATCTTAACAAAAACGCTTCCCAAGGGGAGCACCCAGAATAGGGGTGACTCAGACGTGCACACAGGATCGAAGTGTGAGGTGAGGTGGCCTGTGATGGGCAAGCGGGACTGAACCTGGGTTTGGGTTTGGGAGTTTTCATTATTATTATTAATTATTATTATTTCTTCCAGGAGGGTGTGACAAACAGTTAGACATCAGGGGAGCCGGGACATGAGGTGAGCACAGAGGGGACGCCTGGGGAGACAGCAAGGGGCCCGTGGGCCGGGGGCTGCACACGGGAGGAGGGGTGAAGCAGTTTGGGGGGAGGCTGGAGGGGGGCTGCCAGGCCAGACAGGAGTGGAGCGGGGGTACGGGTCGCAGGGAGGAGGCTTTTATTCGGCTACAGCAGATAAAGGAAGCTGGGGGTGCGTGAGCTGAGGGCCATGCTCTGCGGGTGGCCCTGGGCACTGGGGGGTGTAACGCTGTGGGGTTGAGGGCACATGGGACCCCAGGCACCCGCCAGGAGGCTGTGCAGGAGCAGGTGATGAAGCGACTGAAAACGTGCAGATTCAGGGTCCCGAGGGCAGAGAGACTCACCGACTAGCCGTGCAAGGCTCAGGAAGAAGCCATCAACGTAGCGGGTATGCCCTCAACGGGCCTTTCATTTCCCTTGGGACCCGGAAATACATCATTTCATGACATCACGTGTGACTAACCCGCTGACATGAGAAAAAAGCCTCTAAGGTGACACATACTCTGTGTCCCCCACCCCTGGGTGAACTAAGGCTGTGTCCACGCCTATAACCCATGGGCGTCCTGGCCACCTTTGATGGCTGTGGAACAGGACACCCGGCCTGCACGTGGACTCACGCAGCTGGAAGGCTCAACCTGGAGGGTCACTGCACGAGCACGTCTCTTCAGTCAGGGCTGCTCCAGCCTCCCAGTGGATTTAACAATGATTCCAATGCTGGCTGGGCTAGTACCCTGCTTGACGTTGAGTTTTACGCTTAAAATCGGGGGCCCTGACAAGCTGCACAGTCGCTGGGGCTCTGCAGGGTGGCCTGGCTGGGTCAAGGCTCAGAAAACCCCTCCATTTAAGGCAGGGATGTCCAGGTGTGCTGGGGCCCCGGCACAGGACTGCAGGGACGAGCAGCAGGGCATGTCGTCTGCAAAGCGGTTCCTTCGGCCTTGTTGCCAGGATGCCGGCTGAGCCCCGTCTCCAGGCTGCTGGGCCCACAACACAGGCTCTGCCCAAGTCCCACGGCCCGTGAGTGCTTGTTTCATCGTGATGGCTAAGCTAACAGTTCCATGTCCACCGGTGGCAGATGGGCACCAAGGCACGTGAGGAGCCCTGCTCATCAGAGCCCTTACTCAATACTCAGATAGTAAGTCACCACATGTTCTCCCGAGGGGCTGCGACCTGCACGCTCCCGATTTACTGCACAGACCCTCCTTCTCATGAGGGCTGCACACACACGCCAAGGGTAATCAGAAGGTTGACATGAATAAAATACTGTTAAAGAAGTTTCCAGTAGCTGAGAATACATGTCTTTTTCAAGTCGACACAACTTTCCAACAACGGAATACGAAATCCACTCCTACCAGTGGGTGTTTCTCAGCCGAGCTTCACCAGGAATGTCTGGAAACCCGGGAAACAGGGCAGATGAGACAACTGGCAGACATCTGCGGGCCAGTCAACGCTGTTCCCAGGTCCAAGCTCTCCTTATGCTACACACATGCACACACGCTTCCCCGCTCGCCCTTCTTCACTGACCTCCCGCAAAGCAGAGTTTACCCACCTGGCTTCCTAAATCCCTGGAAGAGCCTCTCCCACCTCCTTCCACCCGATCCCGTCCGCACGCCGCCAGCCCCACGTAGGCCAACGCCCCAGGCACCACATCCTTGTTCTCCCTGGAGACTCTGGAACTTGGGAAAATTTCTTCTGCTCTTCCTGACCTCTGCCTTTCCCTGGACTCCTTGCCGAGACCCTCCCGCCTCGGGGGCACTGCAGCCCCTCTGCCTCCTTCCCCGCCCCAGCCTCCTGTCTCTGCAGCTTCGACCATGGCAGGATCTGACCAGAGGACCAGAGGAATCTACCACCTGTGTGAAGGTTCAGGCTAAATGGTTTACTCAGGACCCTCTCCTGACCTTGTTTCTCCAGTTCTCTGAATGGCGCCGCACACTTATTTTCATCTAACGTGAAACCCACCACCTCGGAACCTGTATAAATCCCTTTCTCTGTCTTCTTCTCCTGAATCATATCTCAGGTCGTCGGCGCTGACCACGAAGTCCTTCATTCTTAAAAGCTCATGTTTAAATTTTAACCCTTTAAACTCTTACTCTAAACTTCTTTGTGTCAGGTTCTTTATTTTTCTTCCTTTCCCTATCCCCAAAGCCCCAACCTTTTCTCCCACCTGTTTGCCCTGATGCATCCTGGCCTCGCCTGGGCCACCTCTAAACTGTGAGTGGCATCCTTCTGACAGGTCCCATGGTTGCAGCAGGGGCCCTCCCTTTACCACGTGGATCCGGATTATTCTTCCTAAGATATTCCTGGGACGGCGTCATCCTCATTCTCAACTGCAGACAAAGCCTATCTGCTGCCTATTAATTAAAGGCCAGCTTCCTCCCTCTGCCAGTCAAGGTCAAGCAGAATTTGGCCTCAGACACCCCCTCAACAATGCCTCTCTACAATGACCCTCACAATGAGGTCAAACTGAACTTCCCCACGGAACCCGAACAGATGCTCGGATTTCTCTCACATCAGCACCACTAGTACCCACAGTAGCTTCCTGATGTCGATCAAACGTTTGCTGATGTTCTAGGTCCAGTGTTAGTGAACCCCCTCCACAAAGCATGTCCTATCCATGCCCATCAGAAGCGCCCTCTCAGTTCACTGCAGTAGAAAAGCAAAGGCTGTGTTATCAGCTGGACCTAGAATCAAACCAAGGCCCCCTCACTCAACCTCCTCAGAGCCACAGCTGGTGGGCAATTCCTCTAAGCCTGTTTGCTAATCAGTGAAGGAGGCAAATAGCACCTACCTTACAAAACTGCCATAAAGACCAAATGAAACCATGGATATAAAAATGTCTAATGTCCCTCAGACATTTCAGACACAATAAACATCACTCTGCTCTCCCTCATCCATACAACTTTATAGCTCTTTGGTACTTTACTTGGGCATACACATTTTCATATTACTTACTGTCATGCCAAAACAATTACAGTGCCACAAAATAATTAAGTGTTTTATTTTAAAAATTGGTGGAGGGACTTCCCTGGTGGCGCAGTGGTTAAGAATCCTCCTGCCAATGCAGGGGACACATGTTCGAGCCCTAGTCCGGGAAGATCCCACGTGCCGCGAAGCAACTAAGCCCGTGAGCCACAACTACTGAGCCTGTGCTCTAGAGCTCACGAGCCACAGTTACTGAAGCCCGTGCGCCTAGAGCCCGTGCTCCGCAACAAGAGAAGCCACCACAATTAGAAGCCCGCGCTCCGCAACGAAGAGTAGCCCCCACTCACCACAAATAGAGAAAGCCCATGCACAGCAGCGAAGACCAATGCAGCCAAAAAAAAAAGTGGTAGAGAAGGGAAAACAAAAACGGAAGAATAAGACAAGGCTGGGGTAAAGTCATAGCATATTGGGGTAATCGCTTAGCATTTATTTCTATGTGAATTAATGCTTCGACAAATATATCCTGTGAATAAATTATGATGGCTATGGCCTGCTGGTATTTATACATCTGTTTGCTTTCTTTCTTTTTTTTTTTTAAAGAACCGAATGAATTTGATAAATTACAACTTAGCCCACCCAAATGAAACATATAACATCCCCTTAAACCAGTAAATCCACTCTGGGTTCCAGAAATGCACCTGTGTCATTTACACGGGTAAGAAATAAGAAAGCACAGGTAGTGAATCCAAAGTCAACACAGATAACTTATGAGTTGAGGGCTCAGCATAAAGTAAATTATGATAAATTATGATCACCTTCCCAACAATAATGGTGATCTGGGTCATCTATAACAGTTTTCTGTACGATAGTGTCTTTTTAAAGAGAGAAATTCTTCTTGCTTCTGGAAGATGCTAAGTCGCTAGGAGCGAACTCTCTAGTCACCTGAGGTCACAACTTCCAGGAAGGTAAAGACACCGAAAGACACACACACACAAAAGCAGCCCGGGCCTCCCAATCTGTACCCGTTTCTACATGGACTGGCTGCCAGCAGAAACCTCTCATCATGCTTCACATTCCTATTCAGAATTTTCTCTGTTACTTTTCCTTTTAAAAATACTGTCTTTGGAAAGTACTGAATTACAAACTGCATTAAAAATAACTTTACCGTACTGCCTGCAGTCTGCCACAGGGGGTAAGAGCCTCCACAAAATAAGGTTGTTGAGATGACTTAGGTAGGATGGCAGGGAATGAAAGCCCTTCTGATTGTACCACACCCAAAAAAGAAAGAACTTTATGGCCCTCGTGAAATTAGCTCTGAAGTCTATTCATCAGCGGTTCTTGGATGCGAGGAGCACATGTAAACTAACTTCACCGGCACCTGAACTCAGGCCTCGGAGTACTGGTCCTGCATGGCTGATAGTGAGCGGTGAATTCCAGCCTGCTAATTTTGTATTTATCTCCAGCATATAATTTACGGCTAAAAATAGATTAATTTTCCGCAGAACAAATGTTGAGTGTTGCTCTATAATTATATTCTCACAACAAAAAGGGAATCTAAGACCATCATTTATTTCTTTCTCAGTTGATAAGCTAATGAAATTTGACCTGCAAATTAAAAGCAAGGAAATGATAAGAAAAAAAAATGATTACTTTCAAATTAATAACTGAATGTGGAACGTTATTTCCCAAAATAAATTGAAGTGAACATTTGCTGAACATGGAGAATAAGGCAGCAGGCCTGTCAGGCAGGAGAAAGGTGAAGCAGAAAATAGGAGACAGACAATGCTATTATCGTTGCAATAAGAAGGAGCACAAAAAATACTAATTGAACCATCAGTATCTATATTTCAAAAGATCAATATTTTAATAAAAAATTTTTAAATGTACTCAGTTTGGAATGCTGGTGAGTGTATTTAAGTGGTATAATGAATCAACTGGCAAATTCTGACCTTAATTCAAGTTCACTTCTCTAGATGAGGCCACCTTCTGTGACAGACAATCTTCTTTGTGGGACTAGAGCTGCTCCCCAGCAAGTTCATGCTCGAAGGAGGCTGCGCAGGTTCCCACAGTTTGTGCAAAGTCAGGGCCGCATCACAAGTCCCTAGGCTTCAGACCCAATCCCCCCACTCTCATCTCAGGGTGACCAGTCGTTTTCCGCCAGGGTCCTGTGTTCACAGGGGCAGCTGGGCTACCACTCATGAAAATGCTGTTCTACACAGGACAGCAACCCCAGTTATTTCTCAGAGAGCCCACATCACCAGGCAAGGCAGGAAGCAGCAGACCCCTTCCCATTTTCACGGCAGCTGTCACTACACACCCCCTTCTTCAAATATTTTCTTAGGTTCAGGGAAACCCTTAGCAGTCATTCTTCCCAACTCCAAGGAAGAAGAAATGCCACTTGAGACCAACTATCCACAGACCCGGGGCATCCAGGTGGATCTGAGACTGGTAACAAAAGCCGCCACAGATTTGCAGTATCTGCAATTCAGACACGCGATTCTGAAAAGCAGGGAAAAGTGTGGGTGTCCCTGACGGGGCAGCTCTCCCTGCACTGAGGTCGCCTGCCAGGGTGTTCACCTGCTCCCGTGCCCGACACAGCAACCCTGGGCCCTGCAGGCCTGGGCCGGGCCCCTGGCACTCCCACCTCAACCCCACACAGCCACAGACATGCTGACACTGAGGATCTAGCCATGTTTCTGGAAAGGATACAAGTGCAAGCCTCTGTTAAAGTCAAAGGACAGGCTGATACAGTAGGAACCCCGGCGTGTGGACGGGAACCCCCAGGACCACGGTCCATGACCTCCTGACCCCCAATCTTGGCTCCTGTAACTGCTTCACTGGAGGGAAATGTATGAAAGGCAATGGTAGTCTTTGCCCTGGATCTGGGGTCTTCAGATGTTGTTTTGTTTCATTTGTTTGTTTTAATTTTTGTTTTAAAAGCAGGGAGATTTTTTTTTTCCAGCTTAAGAATGACACTACAAAAACATGGAAACTGGAGTGGGGCAGCTGTGTGGGCCTGGGGGACCCGGGATCCTGGGCACCCTGCAGCCCCTCCCCGTGGGCTCGTGGCTTCTGTGTCAGGTCCCGTCTATGCCCCGCTTCTTCTATGCCCTTGGCTGAGGGACTCTGATGTCCTCCCTCTGGCATGGGCTCAGCCCCTACACCTCTGCTGTCGCTGTAGCACCCGTCCTGGCCGCCAGGATTGGGTCCCCACTGCCACGCCCGCCGAGGCCAGCAGCCAGCAAACCTCTCCGCCCAGGTCCCCAGTATCCAGGCCCAAGGTCGAGAGGGACACCTCAGGATAGAGACCAAGACACAGGTGTGGCCGTGAAACTCTGTGACAGTTGCTGATGGAGGGGTGGTGCTGAGTGACCCTCTCAGGGGACTAAGGGGTTGAACCCAGAGAACCCTGAGTTCACCAAATACCAGTGATTAACTCCAGAGGGTGCAGCCTGAACTAACAGGAGCCACGATGCAGCCTGTGGACCTCAGTGAGATGATGGAAAGGCCCGGGTGCTTCATGGGGGCGAAGTCAGAGGGCAAGGGCGCTGCCACGCTGGACTGAGAGGGCTCCAGGCCCAGCTCTCTACAGGCAGGAGGCTGGCAAGAAGGTGCTCCAATGGCCTGTTTCCAAATCTCCACCCGTGACTGTCAGGGAAGTTGGGAGAAGCGCCTGGCAGAGTCAGGGGCACTGAGGATGTGGTCATGGAGACAGTCCCAGGGGGCTGGCAGGGTCTGGCTGGGGACACGCCCCCCCCACCCCCGGGAGCGAGGCCTTTGCTGAGCCCTGCTCTGTGAAGGCCAGATGCCAACGGCCCTGTTGGCCGTGACTGCCCGCCCTACAGCATCTTTCTGGTGATGGGTGACTGGCACACAGAGTTTCAAGGAACAGTCTGAACTTCATTTTAGTTCTTCTATAAATTGGCCTTCGCTTGGGAGAAACTTTTATAAATTCTTTAAGCAATAGATGTTTCATAATGCCCTTTAAATTAACATTTAAGGTTAAGCACAGTTCAAAGGAAGAGCTTTTCTTTTTCTTTTTTTCTCTTCCAAGAATGCTTTCCTGAAATACTGGACCATTCTCTGGAAGTAAGTTGTGGGATTTCCCTCCCTGCCGGCCCATAAGTCAGGACACAGTGAAATCCAGTAACTGAAGGAGGGAGTCAGCCTCCTCTTAGGGACACATCCTGACGCCTCAGAACAGACCTTCCATCTCAGGATCCCGAGTAACAGTTCCTCAGAAAGGCAACTGAGTAACTGTAGGAAAAAAAACCACTGGATGGATATTTAAATGGCTAAAAGTCTATGTGAGAATAGAACGAATGCCAAACACTGGGAGTTTGGCCTTTTTAACTGAAGTGCATACCTTCTAGAGGGTGTTTAATTAAACCAGTCTAACATTCAAGGCGTGAATGAAATAACTCATAAAGGTTCCACGAGAGACATTCTACAATACAATGAATTTATAAGTATTAAGCCTGTTGCTATGCAAATTGTCCATTTTCTCCTCAGAAAGACCATGAAAATCACTTCATGTCTTATGACTGTACCCCAAAGGCCAAAGTTAAAGGCTGGTGGCTAATTACTGAAAGGTTAATGCAATAATCTGACATGATATCAACCACCAACAGTGCCGTAGGGATTTCAGACAACAGACGCCCTTTGCAGCCAGTGCGGTATGGTGACTACTGGGCTTCCTGGAGAGAAGCTCCATCCCCAGAGGGCTGCATACCATTGGCTTGCACGCCTGTGCCTGGCCAAGTCCACGTCAAACAACATTAAACGCTGCAGAAGTCACTAGTCAAACATGTCAATACAAAAGACAAATAAAGAGGGGAAAAAACAGGTGCCAGGGAGACACAGGGATCCTGTGCCCTCATCACAGAAGCAGAGATGCAGGGAGACCCCGGACCCTGAAAGCAAGGACACTACGGCCCACTGTCAACAGAGGGCTTGGGATTTGGACAGATTAGAAAGTTAAAATGTTCTGAGAGGAAATGAGTAGATTCCTTCTACAAATTGGGTTGATTTTAATAACAGCCCCATCCCGTGTTCAAAAGCCAGCAAATGTATTTTAGGTTATTTTTCTATCAAGCTATGAATCTTGATATTTTTGTATTAAGCTATAAATCTTCTCATGCGTGTGGCCTACAATGTAAGAGGTCTGAACAAATCTCAGCTGAAAGAGGGATTTCTGAACAGTCCACACAGGGACTAAAATTTTTCATCAGGGATTATGTTGTGAAATATGACTGTTAACACTTTTTTCCGGAATTGCATAGTCAAGTATGAATGTTAGCATTTTCCTCAGGGATTACATTGTGAAAACCTGTAAAGCACCTTTATTCCAATGAGTAAGACTGCACCAGGCACAAGCCCAGATCCTGATAAGCTTTTCCATGTCCCCAGGATCCACGAAGTCCCAACACAAGGTAGGGACATTTCATTAGTGATATGACAGGTTTACAAGCAGACACTTCACTCCCCGGATCTACTCTTTTCCAATTTTTCTTTCAGTCGG